AAAGGTGCTTGCTTCAGCAGCACATATACTAAAATTGGAAAGATACAGAGAAGATTAGCATGGCCCCTGCACAAGGATAACATGCAAATTCATGAAACGTTCCACATTTTTAAAAAAATGATTAAAAAAACAATGCCTTAGAGGTCTGCAAGAAAAGCAAATAAAGCTTTAACATGTTTGTAATTGGAATATAATAATAGGAGAGAAAGTAAGAATCAGAAAATATTTGAAGGAATGATGTTGTAATGTCACATTTAATAGAAGACAAGAATATACATATAAACCCATTCATAGACATAGCATAAAAATGGAAAGAAAGGTAATCTTCACAGCAAATAGGGAAAAAAGACAGTTAAACAGCGTAGCAATAATTAATGTAAGCAGTAGCTCACTTATCAGAAACTGTAGATGCCACAAGACATTGCAAGTATATTTTCAAAGTGCTTGAACAAAAAACATGAATCAAACAATTCTATATTTGATGAAGCAAAAATAGAGTATTGTAGATCGATTAAGAGAAAATGGAGAGAATATATGACCAGTAGACAGTACACTACAATAAATAATAAATTTTTCAGGCTGAACTGACACTGAGATTAGAATTTAGATCTATAAAAAGATATAAAAATACTGAAAATTAGAGATATGTGAATATGAGAGGGATTAAAAAAGTTTAAGGGAAACAACTGTCTTTTGATTCTAGTTTTCCATAGACTTTTAAATCCTCTTGTATTAATATTGCATATTTTTCTTTCTAAAGAATATTTTTAGAAGTCATATTATTTAAAGCAGAAGCTTTAAAAGTCATATTTAAAGTAAGCTTATAACATATACTCATATACTAGATGATAAAAGAGTACTAATTATAGGATGTATAAAAACATTCGAAGTGTTTTATAATTAGTACAAGTCATGTAATATTCAGAATATTGGGATAACCTAAATGTGTATATTCAGATTAACTACTAAAAAATAATGCAAGGCAGGGGATCAGTAGAGAGGTCTGAAGGGC